CGCCGCCGACAACCGCAGCCGCGGGCAAACGCCCCCCCCCCCCCCCCCCCTATCGGCGACCTTCAGGTCCCCAGCGGCGGGCAGCGCCGCCCGCGGCAGCGGCGCCCACTGAGGGGCGCAGGGGGGGAGGTAAGGTCGGACGACGTTGGGCGGCGCTCTCTTTCAATAAACTATGGCACGGCCTTGGTGCCTGGGCACAGTGCTGCGACCGTCGCGTCGAAACGCAGAACCCAGTTCCTCGGGCTGTTGTAGAGCTGTTTGGCGGCTCTGTCGACACCCGCTTCTTCTCCCGAGCGGCGCAGCGCGCAAGTTCGCTGCGCCAGGCGGGGCTTGGCCTGCCTCTTGAAGAACTTGCAGGGCTTCCTGGGGCTCTTGTAATATATCACACACCCACTCGGCGCCTGGGCAAACGCTCGCAAAACGTGGGGCAGTGTAGGCAGGTCTTCCGCGAGAGCCTCTGTTACAGCCACGTGGTAGCTCTTGCTCGAGTTCCGAAGCTTCTCCGTGTACTGGATGCCTTTTGACGAAAAAAATATTATAAAAAAAGAAACATATTTTATATATATATATATATATATATTTAATAAAAAAAATGCTCCCGTGAACGCTGCTACGATCTGGGCGGCGATGCAATAGTCGGTGTCAGCTGTTGGCGCCAAGACTACGTTCCCCTTCTTCTTCCCTGGGCCGCATGACTGGCAAGATAGTCCGGGAAGCCCACGGGGTCCTGCAACACCTTGAAACGCAAGCGCTGCGCCTTGTTGCGAGCGCCCCCATCTACCATGCGAGCCAGCATGGGCCCAGCGGGGCGCGGGGGGGGCAGCAAGTAGGCGTCGCGGCCCGCAGCTGGCCTGGCACTGCGCAAGACTTTCTTCTCTCGGGTACTCCTGGCCTTGGCAGCGGCCTTCGCCCCTCCAAGATGGCGCTCTCGGATCTTGGCCCCCCGCTTGGCGACGGCGGCGACGACTTTTGCAGCGGGCCCGACTGGATCTGCGCCGCTCGCCTGGGCCGCCTCCTGAGCCAGCGCAGCGAGATCGGGGGCGCCCTCCGCGAGAAGGCGGGCGCGCTTGCTCGGGCAAGCGGCCGCCATGGCGTCGACGGCAGCTGCTCGCCTGCGCCCGACGCCTACCTCTGTCCGGCGTGCTGCCCCAGACTCCCGCGCGCTTCCCCTGTCGCGCCTCTCGGCCCTCCTCAGCGGCATGATCTTCCCCTGCGCGACCTCATGTAGCTTGAGCACATGCCTGTGCCAACGACTGGCGGCAGAGCTGCTCTCGTCGTTGCCGCCCAGCCACGTGCGCAGCAACCTGCTGGAGGGCGCCTGGTCCACGAGCGTGCACTCCTCGACGGACACGTCGAGGAGCCGCGCCCTCTCGGGGCAATGCACCTCTGAGAAACGGCGGAATCGCCTCTCCAAGTTGCCCGTGCTCGTTTTCCATACAAGGAAAAGCTCCACGAGGCGACGGTCGCTGGGGAGCTCGGGCCACTCCACCGCAGCGCGGCCCCAAGCCTGCCGCGTGGTGCCCCCGCTTCGATGATGCACCTCGGCACGGGGCAACATTTGCCGCAGCTGGGAGATTGCCTTCTGCTCGGGGAGGTCTGCCGCCTGGCAGATGCGCTTCAAACAGGCCTCGGCTTCTGTTGCATGCTCTGTTGCAGACAGGGACAGGGGGGGAGGCAAGCGACAGGCTGTAAAGGCGTGCAACCAAGAATGCTCTGGCCGATATAGCTTCATGTTCTCCTTCACATTGGCCGCGATCCCCTGCGCTCGTCGAAGAGCCGCGCGGGCGGCTTCGCGGGCTCGGGGCCCCGTGCTCCAATCGCCGATGCCAACGGTCTGGACGCCAGTGCCGCACGCGAACCGCTTCGTGGCCTTCAGAAACTTGAGGGTGACGCCAGTAAACGAGTTGGGGATGGCCAGAATATCCCCCTGGACGAACAATGTATCCAGCCTGGAGAGGAAAGCGGCGGCCCTGGATTGAACGCTGGCAGCGTCGGGGTTGCTCTTGTCTCCGGTGGCGACCCAGGAGCGGTGCTCCGCGCTCAAGTCGGCCAGCAACCCCCCCAGGAGCAGGCGCGAACTGTTCTCGCCCCCGAGCCCTTGCAGAATCTGTCGGGCGAGAATGCGCCGATCTTTGTCCTTCCCCTGGGACTCCACTCCGAGCGCCTCGAAAATGACTTCCCAACGCCGACTTTCCCGTGCGAAGGGCCTCGCCCGACTGTTGAAGCGCTGGGGGGCCCAGCCGAAGTTTTTGGCGAACGCCGCGCCGTCTTCCACCAGCTGCTGCTCCCCGAGTGTGTTGCGGAACACGGCGGAGGTAGTCAGGAACTTGGCCAGACTTGGCGGCTTCTTACCCGTTGCCAGCAGCTCGCCCGTGGCCGTTATTTCGCTGTCTCCTTTCATCGAATTGGCCAGAACCTTCTGGGGCGAGTGAGACTCGTCCCACGCGTGAAACGCCAGCCCAGGGAACGTAGCTGTTGCAGCCAGGGGTGCACTTAGATCCGCCCCATCGCTGCGCCATGCCCGAGTCTCCTGTCGCACATGCTTGTGCAAGTCCCCGTCCAGCTCCCCGCCTGCCGTCTGGCACGCGCGACGGACGCACTCCTACAGCATGGGGGCCTTGCCGTCGCAGTCCATGCCCCGCGGGAACTCCCGCATCCCGATCGCCCGATCCACGATCCAGGGCCCTCTGGGGCCCAGCTGTTCCAGCCAGCCTGCCTTGAGACCGTAGCTTGGGAGGAAGTCCAAAGCCTTCGGGATCGACCGCAGCACGGTGCCAATTTCGACCTGGTACGTGCGGTCGAGGCCGTCCGCAGCCAAACGACAAACATCACCATGTTTGAGGATCCTCTGCGTGATGATCTTCTCGTGCTGAGCCATGGCGGTCACCAGCCTTCGGCGCTGCCGACTAGACTACCAAACTTGGCGGTCGCCCCCAACGAACGCATCCCGCCACACGTCGAAACTACTGAAGGAACTGGTTGTCTCCAACATTGCACGGGTGGCGACCACTGCGCGGCGACCAGGGCGCTGGTCGGCGTTGCGGACGACGGCGGGCGCAAGCGCCGCGGCTGCTGCAGCTGATGCAGCCGTTGTGGAGAACACAGACACGGGGAGACCCTGGTGCGCACCTTCCTCTCGAATCCGCTCTTTCCACGCCGCTTCTGCTGCCTGGTGCTCCTCGCGCTGTGCGTGGCGCACGAGGTTTTCCTTGCGTTCGAAACTCGCGGATCCCTGGCCTATTGTGGAATAGCAGCGATCGCCCTTGAACGCCGAGCAGAACAAGCAGACTGCAAATCTACCACCTACGCAGCCTATGCAAGTTTCACTCTTCAGTGTTACTGGATTCGTCGCAGACATCGAGGCGCCCCACTTCTCCTTGTTCTTCCAAAATTTGCAAGCGCCGCAGGTGGAGACGTGCTTTGGGTAGTCGTGGCTGGCGACGTGCTCCTCCGGGGTCATGGACAACGAAGGCGGGAACTTCTCGACTACTTTGCTCGGGGCGGCCTTCGCCTTCGCTCTTGCAGCCGCGGCTGCCTCGCTGCTGGAGCCGCTGTCCTCTTCGGGGCCGCTGTCGGAGCCGTTGTTGGAGCCGCTGTCCTCTTCGGAGCCCGCTGCGTCGGCAACTCCGTCGGCGCCGTCGGCGTCGGACCCTGCGTCAGCATCGGCGTCCGAGCTGTTGCAGCTGCCACGGCTTGGCGAAGCTGCCCTCGACGAGGCCGCAGGGCTCGGGCTCGGGCTCGGCGAAGCTGCCCTCGAATAAGAAGCCGGGCTCGGCGAAGCTGCCCTTGAAGAAGAAGCCGGGCTCGGCGAAGCTGCCCTTGAAGAAGAAGCAGGGCTCGGCGAAGCTGCCCTCGAAGAAGAAGCAGGGCTCGGCGAAGCTGCCCTCGAAGAAGGAGAGGGCGACGAGGCTGGAGGGCTCGGGGAAACCGCCCCAGCGGACGACGACATTATTTTAAGCCAAGTCCTACGGACCACAATGGTGACGATGGTGATGGTGATGGCGATGCTGATGGTATGGGTGCTGATGATGATGATGATGCTGATGATGATGGGGATGGTGATGATGGTATGGAGAGGGCGGTTGTGATGGTGATGATGGTGATGGTGATGATGGTGATTCTGGATGTGATGAGCACCGCCATCATCACCATCACCATCGCCACCACCATCAGCACTACGATATGATAACCACCATCATTGCAATCGTCGTCGGCATCAAAACACAAAAACACTCACCCGACTCAACCGAAATCCGCTCTAAATCAAGCCAGCCAAAGCAGTCCGTCGACGATGATGGAATAGACAGCGGTGGCGTGGCGTGATGACGAGCATCAGCGGCGTCGCGATGGGGGCCAGCCGCGTCGAAGGCATGGGGCCTGGCGAACACGCTGGCCCCTGGTGGTGCCTCCGCTTCTCAGCGACTCGGCCGACCTCCGAAGCTAGCTCAGGGGGAACGTCCTTGATGCGCGCCCCCTTCCCGAACGGTGAAGCGCCAGAAGCGTCGGCCCGTGAGTGAGTGCCGCCGAGACCTGGTAGAGGCACGCCAAAGCGGGATCAGGGCCACCGCGGCCCTCACCCTTCTGACTACTGACTCCCGGGGGAGGCCCAGGATGAGGCCCCGCGACGCCGCCGATGAACCGATAGACGGCATCGAAGATGGCCAGAACGCCACGACGTCTCAAGATCACCTTCCACGCGGAGTGACCGACCAGCACAGCGAGGGCCGCCCCTAGAGGCCCGCCCACGTCGAAGAAGCCCAAGAACAGCTTGGCGGGCGCGGGCGGGCCGATCAAGACGCGCGGGAATAAGCCCAGACAGCCCGATCTGTAGACCTGCGCAGACCCCCCAGCTGACGGCAAGCGAGAAGTCCAGGACGGACAGACCGCGAGCAGTGATAAGGTCGGCGACGGCGCGGGCGCGGGGCGCGGCTATATCCGGGCTCCTAGACACAGCGCAGAAGTTATCGACATCCTGCGCGCGACGCGTCTAGCGGGGAGACCAATGGGTGAGGGCTGCCACCGCCCAGGATCATCTCGCCGCCCTGGAATCCAGCGTCGGAGAGAGCTCTAGTTAAGGCACTCTCACAGACATGAAGAGTCCAGCTCCACCCCGTGGGGGTCACAGCGACCAACGGCCGGGCGAAGTCGCCGATGCCGATGGGGGCTCCGCTGATGCACTTGAAACAGATGTATCCATTGGAGATCGCGGGCAGCGAGAACAGCGGCTCCATCCCTGCAGGCAAGCGTCGACGATAGAAAGCGCGCTGGATGGCGCCCTGGGCGAACGCAAAACTGGCGTCGCAGTCGACTCAGTCGACGCTGGCCCGCGCGCTGGGCGCGGGGGGGCCTCGTGGCCGGCGGCGCCGCAAAGCTGCAGTTGGCCAGCCGAGTGTCGAGCGCGCGAGCCGGGGCATGTGGGTGGACTTCTCCACGCAGAACACTCTGGGTGTAAAAGGGGGCCTGGGGGCTGGAGGCCCGCCGTGAGATCGCGTCGTGGGCCTCCATCTTCTTCGGAAGCTGGGGGCGCGACTTCGGCCGATAGCGAAGCTCGGGGTCCACGTGGGGGCGCGGCACTCCCGGCGACTCGCGAAGCTCCGCCGCGACCGACTCGGGATTCAGCGCACTGTGCCTCCAACCCTGCAGCGCGACGGGGCCGGCCTCGGCGACGACGTCGGAGTTGGAGACTGCCTTCGTCGACGCGGGCCAGGCCGCAAGTGGCTTGCTGTTGGGGCGCGCCCAGCCGCTGTCGCCAGCTCTGCCAGGTGCCAGAGCGATCATCTCTACGAGGGATGCTTCGCAGGCGTCGCCCCTCTCCGAGTAGGCGGCGGGCAGCTCGAACTCGCGGTGCTGGCCCGCAAGGTACTCCACAGAGGCTGCCTGCACCGAGGGCGCGTGCGCGGTGCCCCTGGGCTCGCTCAGCTCGCCCTTGCCGCGGTGGGGCTAGTTGAGAGCGGACGACCCCTCGTTGCACCACTCCCTCCAGCCCGCGCCTTTGGCGGCACGCAGACGAGCCGCTCTTCCAAGGGCTGGTGACGACGCCCATCCACAGGAAGAAGGGGCAGAGGAAAAGCGTCGCGCTGGCGATGGTCGCCGCGCCTGGGCGACCCCGGACCAGGCGGGGCCCTGGCGGGGCTCTGGGCGTAGCTGACCAGGCTCTCGGGCAAGGGCGGCGCGCTCGCGAGGCCCATCCTGGCCAGCGTCCTCCCGGTGCGTCATGGCGCCCGCAAGGATCGCTGCTCGCGAACCTTGCGTCGTTCCATCGCCACTGCTTGCTGCCTCGTTCTTCATCTGATCCGCTATCCAGTCCATCGGGGCAAGGCTGATGCACGGGTTGCCCGTCGTTTCGCCAGTGCCGAGGAAGTGCCCGACCTCCGAGGCGAAGTCGGTCGGGCTGGCCTCCTTCGCCTGCGCCTTCGCCGCGGGCGCTGGCTGCGTTCTCCGCGCGCGCTCCTCGAAGGCCCGCCCCTCGACCAGTTAGAGCTGGCGGGCCAGGTGCTCGAAGGGGGCGAGCTCGCAGATCACGATCTGATCGTGGCACAGCGCGGTCTCGATCGCGCGGGCAGCGTCTCGTGGAGCTCGACGTTCTCGTTGTGCCCGCCGAGCTGCATCATCGCCAACCAGCGGGTGTGCCGTGCCATTGCCTCGCCAGCCATGCGCTCTATGAAGCCGAGGACCCAGGGCAAGGTCCTGGGCCCGTTCACGGGCCGGTCGGCACGGGCCGCCTCGGTCTGGAGCTTGAGCGCGTCGCCGAAGCTCAAGTCGCGCAGGCCCCGCCCGTCGAGCACGAGGGCCATCGCGCGGGAGTCGCCGACCGCTGCCGCCGCCGCGGGGGGGGGAGGGCCCCGCCGGCGCCCGCGGGGGCCGCCGCGGCCGCCGCGGGCGCAGGAGCTCCGCCTCCGAACGCGGCGGCTAGCGCGCCAAGGCCGGCGGGCGGCGCGGCCAGCGCGGCGGGGGCGGCAGCTGGTGCCAGCGGGTCGGGCAAGGCAAGAGCCCCTGCCGCCGCGCCCAGGACGTTGGGGGCGCGACGGGAAGGGAGCCATGCCCCTGGGCGACTCCTCGTCGAAGAGCTGCCCATGCATCTGCTGCGCAGGGGAGCTGCCGAAACTGGTAGAGGTGGTTCGCAGGAACTCCAGGAACCCCTTCTCCTTGCCCCACGAGAGGGTGCACCGAGCGGAGGTTTCCGCCTGCGACGCCGTTATCAGGGTCGTCGTCGCCATCTGGAGTTAATATGTAGCCAGGCAGTAGGGTCAATATTTCATGGTAGATGGCAGGTCCACCGATGTTATGTCGGACAAGGTGGAGCTGGCCAGGCAGAGGCGTCGCCATGATGACTCTCAGCGGCGGAAACTACGAGCCTGGGCGGCGTTGCCGACGCAAGGTCGACGGTGGTGATGGGCGCTTCCGCCGTGGGCGGGCTCGGCGCGCCTTGCGCCCCAGGCTCCTGGGTGGCCGAAGTCGGCGTCTTGCTGAAGTAGAGCCCGCCAATGAAGACGCCGTAGGAGCACGCTAGCAACACCAGCACCACCAGGAACTCCGTCGACCAGCCCGTGCGCGAGCTCGGCGTGAGCTGGCCCTCGCCGCTTGGCCAGTGGCACTCCAGCGCAGGGCAGGGGAACGCGGGAGAGCACACGCAATCTGGGCACGGGGTCGATACCAATGATCGCAGTAGTGACGGCACTGCTGAGGTCCTGTGCGGGGAGTTCGAGCTTGGTCTGCATACCCTCAAGGACTTGAGCAAAGGCATTACGGCCACGGTTAGTCCACAAATGCCGACAAGTCGCTGTATATGCTGATGATGATGATGAGGATGGTGATGATGATGCTGATGCTGATGGTGACGATGAGAACCGTGCTGCCGATGGCAGACGACGTCTCGAGGAGGGTGTGACTACGATGATGCAGATGCACATGAGGATGATGATGCTGATGGTGATGAGGAGGAGTCTGAAAACAAGGGGGAGGGTGGAGGTGGAGGAATAGGAGGGGGAGGAGAAAAAGGAAAAAGAGAAGGAAGAAGGATGAGGAGGACGAGGAAGAAGGGGGATGACACCTACGTGCGCGTCTTCACGCGCCGCGGGAAAGGAACACAAGAATGCAAGACGGGTGGAGAAGAAGAGCACGCGCAAGGAGGGAGGATGGAGGAGTGCGGCAGGAGGGAGGGAGAGGGAGGACGTGAAGCACGGAGGACGAAGAGGATTGCTCCGCTTCTGACCCGATCCCGGGCCCCAGAAGTGGAAGACGGCGGCGTCGAAAGCGATCTGCACGGCCCAGTTCAGCACCTCGGCCAGTCGCACGGCCCGGAGCACGGCTCGCGTCCGCCGCGCAGTCCTCTTTTTGCTACTCCTTCTCCCTCCTCCCTCGTCCCCTCCCCCCCTCTTATCCTCCTCCTCCTCCTCCCCCTCCTCCTTTCGGAAACTCGCCACTCCTCCTCCGACCTCGTCCTCGTCCCACTCCTCCTCCCTCCCTTCTTTTCCTCTCCTCCTCCTCCTCCTCCTCATCCTCCTCCTCCTCCAATGCGCCCTTTCTCTTAACTCCCCGACCTCCTCCTCCTCCTCCTCCTCCTTCTCCTCCTCAAAACCTCCTCCACCTGGGATCTGCAGCGGGTCAGCGAAATCGCGTACGTACATGGAGTCAGGGATTCAAAGAGGCAGCGATGGGCAGGTCCGATATCGGCTGAGCCTCGTGCGTGCATCATCGTGAGCTCCTGCGGCTTGATGAACATCGGCCGCAGGGCGTACGTGAGGATCTGGCACGAACACCAGATGGTCTTCGTGATCGGCCCCCGAATAAACCTTAGATGCGATTGGCTCTTTGTTTGCAACGTGCTAGCTTATTCCACTGCTCGCTTCATCCGACGTCTTCTCCCGACCTGCGAACTGGGACCGCAAGCTCCTCGATGTGAGACGAACGGGCGGCAAAAAACACGCTATGAGAAGGCGAAAAGCGATTGTCCAGCGGCCCTCGCTGAACTTGGATAGGACCATAATGCATGTACGCACACACACATATATATATATATATATATATATATATATATATATATAGACCCATTCATCCCAATGCCTGCAGAGGGCTAGCAAAACAACTCAACGTAACCTGCTTGAATTAGCCAGAGAAGAAAAGCGAGACATTTCGGGGACTGCCCCGATGTTTTGACCAACCCGACTGCCCTGTCGACCACCCCCAACATTACATGATCATTCGTTGACCTTTGCGACGATTGCACTTCGACCTGATGTCTCATACACGCATGTACAGGACGCTTGTAAACACATGTATGAATACTAGAACCATCGCGCGCGGTTCGCGCGTTCTCAGATTCTAGCTGGTCGAGTGCTGACCGCATTGAGACAACAAGGCCGTCATGAATCACGAGGTCAACAATATGTGTTTCCTCCTGCCTCGTCCTCATTCCTCCTCCTACGCTCCCATCGGCCGGTGATCTGTCGCCGAGCTTCTTGGGACCTCTTCACCCCTCCTGGGGGTCTCCTGGGGCGAAGATCTCGGGTTCTCGGTTCGCGTTCCCGATAATGACATTCTGCCCATCCCGCCACTGTGCCTGGGTTGTGGGTTAGAAGACTCTTGGAAGTTCGTTTGGAATCCGTGGGAGGCTTCCCGGGGGCCTCTTGAGGGCAGTTTCGAAAGCCTCTTTGGGGCCGTTTGGGGTGCTCGTGAGGCATCTTTGGGGCCCTATTGGGCCTCGTGGGGCCTCTGGGGGGCCTCCAGGGGGCCTCTTGGGCTCTGTTGCGGTCCTCTTGGGGCCTCCTGGAGGCCTCGTAGGGCGGAAGGCTCGAATTGTCGATTCGTGTTCCCCCTCTTGGGTCCCTCTTGGGGCCGTCTTGAAGCCCTCTTGGACCGTCTTGGGGCACTCTTAGGCCGTCGTGGGACTCTCTTGCGCCGTCGTGACGCCCTCTTTGGGTGCCTCCTGGACCGTCCGTGGGCTGTCTTGGACAGTCAGAAGCACGAAACAGCGAGAACACGAAAAACCTTCACAATCCAACGAACAATCTACTTGTTAGCCTCCTGAATGTCTCGTGGGAATCCTTTTGAGGGCATCTTGGCCGTCTTGCAACCCTCGTGAGCTGTCTTCAAACCATGGTGGACCAATTATGAAACGCTCTTGTGCAGTCTTGGGCTCTCTTGGAGCGCTCTTGGGCCATCTTGGCGCGCTCTTGGACGTCTCTCGGCCCCTTTGACGTTTCTTGGCGCCCCCCGCCAGGCCCGAAACGGCCGGAAAACAAATCGGTGCACTTTGGGGGGCCAGGGACCCCCTACCCCAAAGACGAACACGCCTAAAATAATAGTTTCCCCATGAGAAATCCGCATGTTTTGCTTATTGGGGCTCTACTGGGGTGCCCCTTGGGGCGCGTGCGGGGCCTCTTTTGGTGTTCGTGTGGGTCTCTTGGGGACCTCTTGGGGCTTCTTGGGCGCTTCTTGGAGCCTCTTGAGGTCTCCTGGGGACCTCTTGGGCCAAATGGCTCGCACTTTCTCCGTCTCGGGCGCCGACTTGGGGCGTTGCTGATAGGTTTAGGCGTCTCGTGGGCCGTCTTGGCCCCCTCGTGGGCCGTCTTGGGGCCCTCTTGGGGGCATCCTCGACCGTCTTGGGTGCCTCTTGGGCTGTCTTGGACGCAGTGGAAGCCCAAAAGACGAACACGCCACAAATATACGTTTTCCAATCGGAAATCGACGATGTTTGCTTATTTGGGGCTCTATTGGGGTGCCTCTTGGGAGCCTCTTGGGGGTCTCTTGGGGGCCTCTTGGGGCCTCTGGGGGGCCTCTTGGGGCCTCCTGGGGACCTCTTGGGGCCTCTGGGAGCCTGTGTGGCCGAAAGCTCGGAGTCCCACCAGCCCTTTGGGCGTGAGTGGTTTAGCGAGCTTTCTCTGTTCTCAACCCCCCAACCCCCCTTCTTCCCCTTCGGGGAGGGGTTTACCCCTCCCCCTCCCCCCTCCCCCTGGACCTGGAGAGCGCACCCCGCGGGTCGTCAGAGTGGTCTTTTTCGACGCCTGGGAGGGCCAAAAAACGACGACCCTCACGAGGATTCTGGCTCCGACGGGGGGACGCTCTTGTAGCCCCCTCCTCTTCTGTTAAGCCAAAGTCATTGTTTTTACGATGGTTTTGGCCCCATTTTGGCCTCCCGAGGGGGCCGCGCTCATCTTCCTTCATCGCCAAATCATTGATGTTACAAGGGTTTTGGGCTCATTTTGTCCTTTTCAGGGGGCAGCGCTTCTTTGCGCTTCTGAGGAGGTCGCAAGAGGCGCCAAGATGGCCCCAAGAGGCCCCCAGGAACATCCCAAGAGGCCTCCAAGAGGCCCCCAAGAGGCCCCCCAAGAGGCCCCAAGAGGCCCCCAAGAGACCCCATAGAGGCCCCCAAGAGGCCCCCAGAGGCCGCCAAGAGGCCCCGAAGAGGCCCCGAAGAGGCCCCCAAGAGGCCCCCAAGAGGCCCCAAGAGGCTCCAAGAGGCCGCCAAGAGGCCCCACGAGGAGCCCGAACGACTCACACCAGGTCGAGGGGCCCGAACGACTCATACCACGAAGAACCCGAACGACTCACGCCAGAAGGAGGACCCCGAACGACACCTACAAGGACGAGGCGCCCGACCCATGCACACCACGAGGAGCCCGAACGACTCACACCACGACGCGCGCCTCGAACGACTCACACCACGAGGAGCCCGAACGAGTCACACCAGTACTACTACTACTACTACTACTACTACTACTACTACTACTACTACTACTACTACTACTACTACTACTACTACTACTACTACTACTACTACTACTACTACTACTACTACTACTACTACTAACTACTACTACTACCTACTACTACTACTACTACTACTACTACTACTTAACCTACTCTACTACTACTACTACTACTACTACTACTACTACTACTACTACTACTACTAATACTACTACTACTACTACTGCTACTACTACTACTACTACGACTACTACACTACTACTACTACTAATACTACTACTACTAACTCACCCTACTTCTACTACTACTACTCTACTCCTACTCCTCTCCTTTCTCCTCCTCCTCCTCCACTCCTCTCCTACTACTCCTACTCCTACTACTACTCCTACTACTACTACTACTACTACTACTACTACTACTACGACTACTACTACTACTACTACTACTACTACTACTACTACGACTACGACTACGACTACTACTACTACTACTACTACTACTACTACTACTACTACTACTACTACTACTACTACTACTACTACTACTACTACTACTACTACTACTACTAACTACTACTACTACTACTACTACTACTACTACTACTACTACTACTACTACTACTACTACTACTACTACTACTACTACTACTACTACTACTACTACTACTACTACTACTACTACTACTACTACTACTACTACTACTACTACTACTACTACTACTACTACTACTACTACTACTACTACTACTACTGCTACTACCACTACCAGTACTACAACTGATCCTACTGGTACTACTTCTACGACTACGACTAGGAGCCGAAGAGGAGGGAGAGGAGGAGGGAGAGAAGGAAATGGGAGGCAAGACGAACGGCGGTCGTTCACCAGTCCTACACGTAACCGACTCTGTCGACTCATACGACGGCGACGTCCTGGACCAGAATGCATGTGGTGTGCGTCGTTGGGGCCCCTCGCCCTGGTCTGAGTCGTTCGGGCTCTTCCTTGTGTGAGTCGTTCGGGCCCCTCGCCGAACGACTCACACAAGGAGGGAGGGGCCCAAACGACTCTGTCCAGGAGGGGGGACCCGAACTACTCACACCAGGACGAGGGGCCCGAACGACTCACACCACGAAGAGCCCGAACGACTCACACCACAAGGAGGAGCCCGAACGACTCATGCCAGGACGAGGCGCCCGACCCATTCACACCACGAGGAGCCCGAACGACTCACACCACGACGCGGGCCTCGAACGACTCACACCAGGACGAGGCGCCCGACCCAGTCACCCCACGAGGAGCCCGAACGACTCACGCCACGTCGCTGGCCTCGAACGACTCACACTACGAGGAGCCCGAACGAGTCACACCAGGAGGAGGGGCAGCGCTCATACAAGCCTCCCCAGCACGCCCCCAGAGGTCCACCATGTGGCCCCAAGAGGTCCCCAGGTGGCCCACAAGAGGTCCCCAGGAGGCACCACGACGCCTCCATGAGGCCCCAAAGATACCCCCAAGAGGTCCCCAAGAGGCCCCCAAGAGGCCCCCAAGAGGCCCCCAAGCAGCCCCCAAGAGGCCCCACGAGGAGCCCGAACGACTCACACCAGGACGAGGGGCCCGAACGACTCACGCCACGAAGAGCCCGAACGACTCACACCACAAGGAGGGGCCCGAACGACTCATACCAGGACGAGGCGCCCGACGGACTCACACCACGAGGAGCCCGAACGACTCACACCACGACGCGGGTCTCGAACGACTCAGAACACGAGGAGCCCGAACGAGTCACACTAGGAGAAGGCAGCGCCCATACTACTACCAGTACTACAACTGGTCCTACTGGTACTACTTCTACTTCTACGACTAGGAGCCGAAGAGGAGGAAGAGGAGGAGGGAGAGAAGGCGATGGGAGGCAAGACAGAAGGCGGTCGTCCTCGAGTCCAACACGTAACCGACTCTGTCGACTCACACGTCGGCGACGTCCTCGACCAGATACCACTACTACTACTACTACTACCACTACGAGTACTACTACTACTACTACTACTACTACTACTACTACTACTACTACTAGTCCTACTACTACCAGTAC